TGGTTTTAATGTTTGTATCATTATTGTAAGTCATACCGCATCTACACCAGCGCATTACAATTGCTGCAACAAGCAGAAAAGCCATTAAGTGGTCAGGCAAGACCCTCAGCAATTTTCAACTGGTCTGTGGGTAACAAATCTAGACAATAAGTGATTTCAGACAGCCGGTCTGTTCAAAAACGCTTCTTGACTAATTTTGCTACTTTTGGACTTGCGAAGATGATGAAATATTTCAAGAAGGGGCTGTTTTATGACATCAAAGAAAGATAAACACACATTTTCTGTGCTTCTGTCAGGTGTGGTGGGACAATAATTGGGTAGCAGATACTGGCAGGCAGCAATCTCAGACAGTTCACATGTCCAAACACAGAATAGTTGGACAGACTGGTGGTGTGAAAGTGCCATATTTCAGAATCTGTTACTCCTCTGTGCTTTCCCTCCATTTTCCTGCCAGGAGTGGAAGAGGCAGATGTCATATGTCTTAGTTGTTGTTTAGTCATTTAGTTGTGTCCGATTCTTCATGACCCCCTGGACCAGAGCATGTCAGGCACTCTTGTCTTCCACTGCCTCCCGCAGTTTGGTCAAACTCATGCTGGTAGCTTCAAGAACGCTGTCCAACCATCTCATCCTCTGTCGTTCCCTTCTCCTTGTGCCCTCCATCTTTCCCAACATCAGGGTCTTTTCCAGGGAGTCTTCTCTTCTCATGAGGTGGCCAAAGTCTTGGAGCCTCAGCTTCAGGATCTGTCCTTCCAGTGAGCACTCAGGGCTGATTTCCTTAAGAATGGATAGGTTTGATCTTATGTCTTAGTTACTGACTGATAAAGTCTACAATGTCTACATGTCAGTATCTTTCATAGGAACATAGGAAGCTGCCTTATAGTAAGACCATTGGTCCATCAAGCTCATTATTTTCTACCATTGTTTTCTGGCATCAGCTCTCTAGGATTTCAGGGAGAAGACATTTGGAGATGATGATGATGATTATGAAGAAGAAGAAGAAATTATTTATACCCCGCCCATCTTGCTGGGCTTCCCCAGCCACTCTGGGCAGCTTCCAACAAATTATTAAAATACAGTAATGCATCAAACATTAAAAGCTTCCCTAACCAGGGCTGCCTTCAGATGTCTTCTAAAAGTCTGGTAGTTGTTGTTCTCTTTGACATCTGGTGGGAGGGCGTTCCACAGGGTGGGTGCCACTACCGAGAAGTCCCTCTGCCTGGTTCCCTGTAACTTGGCTCCTCGCAGTGAGGGAACCGCCAGAAGGCCCTTGGTGCTAGACCTCAGTGTCCGGGCTGAACGATGGGGGTGGAGACACTCCTTCAGGTATACTGGACCGAATGCTGTGGATTGAACCTGATATCTTTGGCATGCAGAGCAGCTGTTACACCACTGACCTAGTTGAATCTCAGCAGGCTGACAGAGTGAACTTGTGCTCTACAACTGAGCTATGACCAGGGTCACTGTATATATTTATTTATCATGATTTATATACCACTTAATCACCAAAAATCTACATAATGGATGGATGGTGACCAACAGATGGAGGTTGAATCCTGACAGGACAGAAGTACTGTTTTGGGGGGATAGGAGGCGGGTGGATGAGGAGGATTCCCTGGTCCTGAGTGGGGTAACTGTGCCTCTGAAGGACCAGGTGCGCAGCCTGGGAGTCATTTTGGACTCACAGCTGTCCATGGAGGCGCAGGTCACTTCTGTGTCCAGGGCAGCTGTCTACCAGCTCTACCTGGAACACAGGCTGAGACCCTATCTGCCCGTGGATTTTCTGGCATTCACCAATAGCTAGGCAATAGCATTCTATTCCAGTGCAGTTTCTGAACAGTCTTCAGGGCTACGTAGCCCCACATGGAGAACATTACAGTATTCCAAGGTTCAGCAACATTTTTAAGCCCATGGGCATATATGGATTTTGGGAGGGATGCCATGCACACTGCCCCTTCTGGCCATTTCACCTCCCCCCAATTAACCCCCTCCCCTTCCTAAGAGGCAGGAAGAAAGTGTGTCTGCAGACTTTGGTTTTCCAAGGTTTCTGGGTAAAAGCCAGATGCAGTAGAATTCAACTGAGCCTTGAAAAGCCCAGAGGTTGAGGGAATAGGGAAAGAGGGTCACTTTTCCTCAACTTCCTCCTTCAGTCCTATCTAGTTCTCCAGAGAGAGAAGAATAACCAATTTCACCCATCTAATGACCAGTGAGTGGTAAGGAGTGCTGACCCCTGTACTATTTCATCACACGGGTAACCATCTCTCACGAAATACGGTTGTCAACTGAAAGCGGATGCCTTCTTCCCCTGCTGCCGTGTCTACAAAATTCAGGGTTTTAATTCTATCTCCGTTTAAAATGGAACTGCCAGATCTAGGCTTTAGATCCACCGACACATCTGCACCACAAATTAAGAATGAATATTTAAAAAGCCACTCTAGATGCTTCCTGTGAAACCATAAAGGCCATCAGAGGATCGTGAATGATTCATTACTATCCTTGTCATATTTCTAATCTCTTGCCCTCCAAATACACAACTGCAGTCACGCCAGTAACCCCGTCTTAAGTACACAGTTTTTTCTACTTGAAGTCAAAAGTCTGAATTGTATTGCACTGTTAAAAGAACCTTAGTTCCCCCTATGCACCACAACAGGAAAAATTCTGTGTGTCTTATTCTAATACATATTGAACTTAGACCCCCCCCCCAGTTATGTGTGGAGAAAGGTTTGTGTATGCAGTGGGGTTTCTGGCGTTTTATTTCTGTTACTGTTGGTACTGCTTGTTGTTGTTTAGTTGTGTCCGACTCTTCGTGACCCCATGGACCACAGCATGCCAGGCTCTCCTGTCTTCCACTGCCTCCTAGTTTGGTCAAACTCTTGCTGGTAGCTTCGAGAACATTGTCCAACCATCTCATCCTCTGCTGTCCCCTTCTCCTTGTGCCCTCAATCTTTCCCAACATCAGGGTCTTTCCCAGGGAGTCTTCTCTTCTCATGAGGTGGCCAAAGTATTGGAGCCTCAGCATCAGGATCTGTCCTTTCAGTGAGCACTCAGGCCTGATTTCCTTAAGAATGGAGAGGTTTGATCTTCTTGCAGTCCATGTGACTCTCAAGAGTCTCCTCCAGCACCATAATTCAAAAGCATCAATTCTTTGGCAACCAGCCTTCTTTATGGTCCAGCTCTCACTTCCATACATCACTATTGGGAAAACCATAGCTTTAACTATATGGACCTTTGTTGGCAAGGTGATGTCTCTACTTTTTAAGATGTTGTCTAGGTTTACCATCGCCTTTCTCCCAAGGAGCAGACGTCTTTTAATTTCGTGACTTCTGTCACCATCTGCAGTGATCATGGAGCCCAAGAAAGGAAAGTCTCTCACTGCCTCCATTTCTTCCCCTTCTATTTGCCAGGAGGTGATGGGACCAGTGGCCATGATCTTCGTTTTTTTTATGTTGAGCTTCAGACCATATTTTGCGCTCTCCTCTTTCACCCTCATTAAAAGGTTCTTTAATTCCTCCTCACTGCTTTTGACACTTCCCCAAGGTTCAGGAGCAGCTTATGCTGCAGCGTGTGGAGCTGCTATTAGAAGGGGCAGGGAGAGATTCCCCCCCCCCACCAAAAATTAGATACTATTAGATACTGAGTCCACAGTGCATCACTCTGGCTTCTGTTCTGATCTGCTGCCCTAGGTCTGGTTATTTTAAACACAGGAACAAGCATTTCAAAAAAATAGTGCTAACCTTTCCACAACAAAAACAGAAGATTTTGAGTTATTTTTAAGGAAATTCGCCAAAAAATCAACACTTCAGACACGGGTTGCCATACACCTATGTTTTTCTGGACATTTTTGCGATCTTCAGAAATTCCACAGGGTTGCTATTTCTGACAGTTACGTCTGGGGAAAACCCGGCCATACAGCAACCCTATCTAATCGCCCACCGGTATCTGTAGTGCAACGCACAAATAGGAATAGTAATTTATTATTTGTACCCCGCCCATCTGGCTGGGCTTCCCCAGCCACTCTGGGCGGCTTCCAACAAAGATTAAAAATACATTAAAATGTCACACATTAAAAACTTCCCTGAACAGGGCTGCCTTCAGATGTCTTCTAAATATCAAGTAGTTGTTTATCTCTTTGAGATCTGATGGGAGGGCGTTCCACAGGACGGGTGCCACTACCAAGAAGGCCCTCTGCCTGTTTCCCTGTAGCTTAGCTTCTCGCAGTGAGGGAACTGCCTGAAGGCCCTCTGCGCTGGACCTCAGTGTCCGGGCAGAACGATGGGGGTGGAGACGCTCCTTCAGGTACACTAGGCCGAGAATGGTTTTTGTGCAAACAGTGAAGTCTCTGGAAGCAATTGGGTAAGAGTTGGGCAGAGGAAACAGAAGAGGGAGTAGAAGAAGTCTGAGCAGTGGGACCCTAGAAAAGGAAAAACGGAAGAGGGACTAATCTAAGAGGATTTAGGTGGAGGCCAGAAAGAAAGGCAAACTGGGAGAGATAAATTGTCTGACTATGGTGCTGTGTTCTGGTGTGGCTCAAACCAGAACTCTGGATCTTCCGCCAGCCAGTCAGATAAAGCCCTAGAAGGCAAGGGTGTCCTCAAGGCTGCAGTGCTGGCCTGAGTGCTGTCAGTCAGATTACTGTCCATGCTGGCTGTTGGGAGTTGTAGTCCAACAGCAGCTGGAGAGCCGCAAGTTTCCCCACATCCCTGCTATAAACCCTGTTCTTCCTAGTTTGGTCTGGCAGTCTGAACTCCTTTCCTCATTAACTGCAGCTTGCCTTTATCTGGCTGGAAGTGTGGGGATGGGATTTAGCTTGCTGATCAGATAGGAGGTGATGGAGAAGACCGCCCTGCTACCACAATGGAGACCATCCTTGGCAGATCCAAGGTTTTTGTCTCCTAATGATCCTCGGCACCCTTAAACTACAGTTCCCAGGATTCTTTGGCGTGGCGGGGGGGGTGACAGACCATGGCTGCTTAAAATGGCATGATAGTGCTTCAAATGTACAGGGCAGATGTAGACTCAGCTCAGTGGTGGGGCATCCGCTTTGCCCGCAGAAGGCCCCAGGTTCAAATCCTGGCATCTCCTGGTAGGACTGGGAGAGACCCCCTGCCTGAAACCCTGGAGAGTGGCTGCCAGTCAGTGTTGACAATGCTAAGCTAGATGAAGCATTGGTCTCCGTGTTGATATAAGGCAGCTTCTTAAGGAGGTGGGAAAGATGGGAGACCCTGGAAAGCTGCTGCCCCTGCAGACAAATAACCCGACTGCATCATATTAAACAGGTGCAGCTGCAGGGAGGGCGAACGTGCATCTATGGAAAGCCTTCTTGTCCCAACCTTGCAGCACACTCAGAAAATGAAAAACGGTGGCACTTCTGAGTCACTCCCATTTGCTAACATATTAAAATACACGCCGCTACAGCTATTTTCAACAGGGATCCATTATCGCTGTAGGTAGGCTGCTCTTCCCCCATTCAGCTGTGAAATTCTCTTTGTAAAAGAGGAGAGAGGAAAACAAGGTCCCAAATTGGCAACAGGTACTTGTCGCGCACACCTTTCCCTCCAGCTTTAATTAACAGCCTCGGCTTTGCAACCCAAGCGCCAAAGAGAAAGGGTGGCGGGGGGAAACTGCGGGGCTCTCTTCTCTTGGCAATTGTCTGGGGCAGCTTTTCAGAGGGCAGCTCTCGGAGCACCGCGCTCCTCCTCCGGGAGTTATTAATTTAAGCGCCGGGAAGGTGCGAGCGTTAAGTTCAGCGTGCACGGCTGCAAACGGCCTCCTGCAACTCCTCGTTGCTTCTGCACCGGCCCTCGATTTGCAGCCCGAGGGGCTATTCGGAGTTCACGCTGCTTTCGAGGGGGGGGGGTAGCAAAGACACACATCCCGCCCAAACAAAAGCAAGCGAACTCCAAACAAAACAAGTCTTATCTGTGGGTGCTTAGCGCACAGTTTCCTGCTGTCTCCTCCTAAATACCTGGAGAGGAAATGGCGCAAGGTAAACAGTGAGATGGCTCCACTTTGCACCATATAATTAGGGCTTTCTCCGTATCCAAGGCCCCCCCCCCTCCTTCGGCGGCGGCGGGAGAAGGAGGAGGAAGCGGACCACAATGTCGTCTGTCACTTTAAGGCGTCTCCAGAGACGGCGCAGCGGTGGATTCCAGACGTGGTTTAGATATCGCAGACGGGGCTTTTCCGTCTGGACATGCAAATAACACCTTCTCTGCCCGCCCCCGGGGGGGGGCCACCCCTCCGCCAATCGAAAGTTCAGATCTTTCAGGTGGAAGGTTCTCTCCCCCGCACCGCGGCCCCCCACCCGCACGAGCAAGCAAAGGGAACTAAACAGCACCGCCGGAGAATGGAAGGACTCAGCTGTCTGGATGCGGGGATTTTGCAAGCCACGTGGTCGAGGAGGGAGACAGCGGGGGGGGGGGGGCGTCTATAGAGGCAGACACAATTCATTACCCAGGCAATCAGAACGGTTGTAAAAAGAGGAGGGGGGGTCTGCTAACCTCAGGTTGACCCGATGCTATCACAAAGGAACAAACAGCTTCCCTTTCTTTCTCTCTCTCTCTTTCCCTGCCCCACGACAGCCAGGCACGTTAAAGGGCCAGGCCGCAGCGATTTGCTTTTACGTGCATGCAGAAGCTGCATTCTCGCTTTTGTTTGCTCAGCAAGAGAGTGAGAAGGGGGAGGCAATGATCCCCCAAAGCTACGACGGTTTCCCAGCTGGCGCGTGAAGTTCAACGCACGGCTGGATCTTCTCGCCTTGCCTTTATTTAATTCGAAAGGGAACACCGCTGGCCTTCTTTTAATACGTCGATCTCTTTTCTCTCTTTAAGGTGCACCACCAGCTACAAAAGAAGTCGAGGCTGCTGCGCCTTTAATGATCTGTGTAGCACGGGGGGCTTTGCAGCAGGTGTCGTTTGCATGGCAAGCTAGAGCTGGCGGAATTCCTTCTTCTGCAGAACTAACTGCTCAAGGTTCAGGAGCATTGCTATCTTTTTGCATTTGGCCACGTTGCCCACCCTCAGTCTCTCTCTCTCACTCTCGTGTGTGTGTGTGTGTGTGTGTGTGTGTCAGAGAGAGTGAAGGAGAGAATCACAAACATACACACCCCAGTAGTGCAGGTGACACCAGGAATAGAATTGCACCACTCCACCTACCATACTGATGGTATGACATTTCCGTTTTATGTATGTATTTGAAAAAAATATTTCATCCTGCCTTTCATCTCATAGGTTTCCATGTGAGAGGCAAGGCGTTTGTTTTAACATAAGAGCCCGCAGCAGGATCAGGCCAATCTAACCCTCTAGCCCAGCATCCTGTTCTCACAGTAGCCAACCAGAAGATTCCTTTCCTGTGAAAGCTCAAGATCACTTTGGCCTTCTGCGCTCCGATATTGGAGGCAGAGTATAGCCTATACCCCCATAAATTTGCCTCATCCCAAATTGATGGCCTTCGCTGCCTCCTGTGGGAGTCTAGTTTAACTAAATTCTCCATCTCTCTCTCTCTCTCTGGTCTGTCTTGAATCCTCTCCAAAATTCAGCTTCCATTGGATATGCTCAAGTTCTTTCAACGCATTGTGTGTGTGGAACACCCCCCCCCTTTGTTGAAAAACATTGTGTGAGGAGGTGGTGCGGTGTGAAAGGGAAGGGACTGTTACTGCTGAGGCATTTGCTCTGCAGGCAGAAGGGTGTAGATTCAATTTCGGGCATCTCCAGTGAGAAGAATACAGGTACCTGGAGATGGCAGAGGTGGGGTGGGGTCTCCTGCTGGAGACCCTGGAAAGCTGCTTCTAGTCAGGGACTAAATTAGATGGACAAATGGGTTACATGGACTCTCCCTGGAGGTTTTTAAGCAGAAGTTGGATGGCCATCTGTCATGGATGCTTTAGCTGAGATTCCTGCATTCCAGGGGGTTGGACTAGATGACCCTCAAGGTCCCTTCCAACTCTACAATTCTAGGATTCCATAACTAGCCTGACCCTGGTCTAAGCAGCTTCTCAAGCAGGGCAACCAGGAGGCGGGTAGCTTAATTTGTTAACAAAAGCCGCTCCTTGCAAATTAGTAAATTCAACTGCTCGTATTTGAGATCTATGTTCCTGGTGATATTTAATAGATATTAACACATGCACACACTTGGGCTTGAATGTTCTAGATATTGCAGTTGGTAAAGAAGAAACCACTGCTTTCTCCCTCTGAAGCCCCACGTGGGGTATATTTTTATTTCATTGGCATTCTGCCTTGTATATAGAGGTGCCAGGGATGGAACTGGGGACCCTGCACGGGTGAAGCAGCTTCTCTGCCACTGCGCAACATTCTTCCCTTGGATCCACCACGCCAGGCTCACGGTGATAGTCGCTGTTCCACCACCACCATCCCTCTCCACCCTCACTTAAGCCTGACATCAACAGATGGGTATTGAAATCCACCAAGTGGAAGCTGGATGGACTGGAGTTGACAAGAGAAGATAGCTAAGCCAAAAATTGCCTTGGAGTGTCATCTGAACCCAGGATCCTCTGCTGCTTAACCATGACCTATAACCACAGGACAAGCCTTGGCTGCAGAGCATGGTTAAGACCTGAAGAAGAAGAAGAAGAAGAAGAAGAAGAAGAAGAAGAAGAGTTTGGATTTGATATCCTGCTTTATCACTACCTGAAGGAGTCTCAAAGCGGCTAACATTCTCCTTTCCCTTCCTCCCCCACAACAAACACTCTGTGAGGTGAGTGGGGCTGAGAGATTTCAGAGAAGCGTGATTAGCCCAAGGTCACCCAGCAGCTGCATGTGGAGGAGCGGAGATGCGAACCCGGTTCCCCAGATTATGAATCTACTGCTCTTAACCACTACACCACACCCTGCGTTATGGATGACAGGCTGCACCGAGCTGTGGCTTAGCTGCCACCACGGACCAGCCCAGGATGTTTTGGTGCTGGAGGCAAAACAGAAAATGCTGCCACCTCCTCCATTGCGTGCCCATGCATGTGCATTTGCCACTCAGTGGTGGTGGTGGGTATGCAGTGGTGGGCAAATGCGCAGCAGACAAGGAGGAGGCGTCCGACAAGCACAGGAAGTGGCAAGCAGCGCACTCCTTGGAGGCTGGATCTGCTGCCCCTCCCAGATGTCCGGAGCCTGCTGCCCTGAGGCTGCTGCCTCACACGGCCGCATGGGTGGGCCGGCCCTGGCTGCCACGCTGGCCTAAGAAGCCTGAGGAAGGAGCAAAGCAGCTGAAATCTCCTTGGAAGCCAGCATGTTGTGCTAAGCCTTGATTTGGCTTGGTGTGACATGTGAACACAGCCATTCTCTGATGGCCACCTTCCCATCTTTCTTTTTTTGAAATCGTTTTTATTTTATTTTACAAGTGTAAAGTATGCAGCCCTCCAGATGTTTTGAGACTACAATTCCCATCATCTCTCACCACTGGTCCGGCTAGCTAGGGATCATGGGAGTTGTAGGCCAAAAACATCTGGAGGGCCGAGTTTGAGGAAGCCTGAGTTATAACAATACCAGATACATATCCATTTAAAGAGATTTCTATGAATCTCAGGACTTCCCACCATCCCCTTCCCGGGTCCTATTGTCAAGATTTTCAACTGCATATTATTTCATAATCTATATTTTGTATCTGTCCATAATGTCCACAGTGTTTGTTACATTACAAGTGTTATTAGATTCCTGCTGATGTTTTCCCAGTAGTGATGTATGGAAGTGAGAGCTGGACCATAAAGAAGGCTGATCGCCGAAGAATTGATGCTTTTCAATTATGGTGCTGGAGGAGACTCTTGGGAGTCCCATGGACTGCAAGAAGATCAAACCTATCCATTCTGAAGGAAATCAGCCCTGAGTGCTCACTGGAAGTACAGATCGTGAAGCTGAGGCTCCAATACTTTGGCCACCTCATGAGAAGAGAAGACTCCCTGGAAAAGACCCTGATGCTGGGAAAGATTGAGGGCACAAGAAGAAGGGGACGACAGAGGACGAGATGGTTGGACAGTGTTCTCGAAGCTACCAGCATGAGTTTGACTCATGTTGCGGGAGGCAGTGGAAGACCGGAGTGCCTGGCGTGCTCTGGTCCATGGGGTCACGAAGAGTCGG